TTATATATCAGCTATAGTATTAGATATCATAGTTATATCAAACGTAAATCAGTTATATATCATATGTATATCAAACATATATCACATACATATTATGAGTATATCTGTCAATCATTAGTACATTAGAAGTAAATCAATAGTATATCAGAAGTCAATCAGTTACATATCATATATCAAGAGTATATGTGCAAATTAGTAGTATATTAGAAGTAAATCTGTAGTATATCAGAAGCCAATAATCAATAGTATATCAGAAGTTAGTCAGTTCTATATCTGTTATATATCAGTTATATAACAGTAATCAATTGTATATCAGAAGTCCATAAGTTATATATCAATATATATCAGCTGTATAACAATAAATCACTATTTTACCTGCTTTGACCCTTTGTCGTGGATTTTTTTTATCGTTTCTCTGTAATTTTCTGTAAATAAAAATCATCGATGAGTTTCAATAAGTGAATAACACGAGTAAATGATTAATAAAACTAACTATTGTCTCACTGTACTTACAATTTCATCTTCATTAGCTTTTTCCTCTTCTTTGTCTTCTGCTCCTTCTTGTTTTTCTTCCTCACTTGTTTCTTTTTCTTCATTCTCATTGTCTTGTTCATTTTTCTAAGAAGCATTCCAAAGACAAGAAAAGTAAATCAATGTAAGAAAAGTAAAGCAATTTAGATTTACCTCTTTTTCCTTTTATTTCCCTTTCCCATCCCGATCTGAATCCTCTTTCTCATGATTGATTGCATATTCCACAATTTTATCAATATCTACTTCTTCGTCAAGAAGCTCAAGACTTATCGATGGAGGTACGTTCTTCTGAAGTGATTCTTGGGATTGTTTTTCAATGTTTGATTTTGGTGCAAATCTATCATTGATTACTTCTAATATATAAGTCAACATCCCCAGCATTTTTTTCTGGACACTTCTAATTTCTTGTATTTCCTCCTTCAAAGTCAAGCTTTTACTTGAACCATGTGTTTCTGTTCCTTCTTTCTCCTCAATATTTATTCCTTCTGCCATATCATCCATATTGTTGGGATCATCATTGTTTGGGGAAGGGAATACTCTGGACACGTGGAAGACCCCTATTGGTGCTCCAAGATGACTCATGAATCATGCCCAGCTCGGAAGGCCGAGATGGCCGCCACCAACGCCGACAAATGCCGAGTGTGAGGGCCGAGGTGAGCCTGGCCTAGGTC